ATGGCCCCCTCAACAAAATTCTCTATCCTCTGCCCCCGGGCTGCCGAGGAACCCGCGGCGGGCGCTGGCTCGCTGGCGGGGCGCGCGGTCCCTGTCGTAGGGGCTGCTCAGGCGGAAGCAGTGCTCGGCCTTCAGCCTCCCCTCGGCGCTCAGCACCTGGGGCGCGCATCGCCCGGAGGTCCGCCCGCCACGACCGGGGGGGCGTGCCCATCGTTTTCGCCAAGGGAGAGGTCCCCCAGGCACATGCCACCGTTGTCGCGTGGGGGCGCTAAGCCTTCCGGGCCTCAGCGTTCAGAGACCCCAGAGGAGCTGGGCCGCCAGGTCGCCAGGCCGCCGCAGTCGCCGCCCCACGAGGGGCCAGAGCGGATGCCTTGGAGAAAGAGCTGATAGGGCATGGATACAGATCCCCATGCCCCACCACCTTGGCGCGCATCATTGGAAGCAGAAGCAAGGGTATGAGTGGCGAGAAGATCGACGAGTCGCGCTTCCTTTCTCCCTCTGAGTCGAAAGGATCAGAAACGCTCGACGAACGACTGGCGCACGGGCGCGTTCGGCGCGGCCTACCATCGACGTTCCCTTTGTTTTGTTTGGCTGGTGGAGGACCATGCCAGCCATCTCATCCTCCCGTCGTTCCTCCTCCTTCTCCTTGGCCTCACCCTCCTCATCCTCCTCCTCCTCCTCGTCATCATCATCAGTGGCCACACCCTAACCCACGGAAACAGGTCGTCGTCATCACCACCATCATCCTCATCACCACCATCACAACCACAATCAGAACATAATGATAATAGTACAAAAAATGTGATACAAAACAAAAATCATCGTGATCACCATAATAACAATAATGATGGCACTAATAACCAGAATAGGAATACGAATTAGAATCACAATCATGATAATAATCCTACTACTCAGAATCATCATCAGCATCATCAGCATCATCAGCATCATCATCATTATAATTACCATCAGCATCACCACCACCACCACCACCATCATCATCATCAGCATCAGCATCATCATTATCATCAGCATCATCATCGTCGTCGTCAGCATCATCAGCATCATCACCACCACCACCGCCATCATCACTATCAGAATCATCATCCTGATCCTCATCAAAATTATCATCACAATAAGAATTATTGTTATTCTTATTCTTATTATATTCATCATCATCATGGCCTCTGCATTCCAACTGTCCGCGAGGGGCGCCCACGACCAACAGGTAAGCTCGTCCGTTCCCCTCGACGCCACCTCTGCCTCTCTCACGGTTTCTCCTTGACTTCCAGTAAAGGACAGCTCAAGAAGTCCCTCAGAAACGCCAGAAGGGAAGGACGACAGGACGAGGAGAAGAGAGGAGGAGAGGGAGAGAGGAAGGACAGGAAGAAGTGGCACAGGAGGAGGCAAAGGCGAAGGACAGGGGGGACGAGGAAGGGAGATGTGGATAACGAAGACGCGACGACGAGGATGACCGCCCCTCATCCTCCTCCCCCTCCTCCTCCTCCTCCTCCCCCTCCTCCTCCTCCTCCTCCTTCCCATCCTCCTTCTCCTTCTCCTCCTCCCTCTCCTCCTCCTCCTCCTCCTCCTCCTCCTCCTGCTCCTCCTCCTCCTCCTGCTCCTCCTCCGCCGCATCTTCCTACTTGCACCCACTCCCCACGACCCCTTGGGCAGGAGTGGAAAACCAAGGGCATAGAGATAACGACAACTAGCTCACAAGCGAAGTGGAGGATACTGAAGCGGATGAGGAGGACGAGGAGGTGAAGAAGACAAACGAGGAGAATGGCACAGCCCCTTCACGCATCGAGCTGGCTGATGAACAACGCGTGGATGGAAAGATACCATTGTGCTGTAAGGAACGGTCCAGCGCTGTCGGGCAATACCTTCTTTGGCCAGGTCAAAATCGACAGCATCAAATGACGCAAGGCACAGGACAAGTGACGCGGTGAAGAAAAGGACGGGGGGGAGGAGGAGGAGGAGGAGAAGGAGGAGGAGGAGGAGGAAGCGGAGGAGAGAGCAACGGAAGGGGGGGGGGCATGGTGCGTACGGTCGGACCTAGCCCAGAAGAACATCCGTCAAGAACATGAGACCCCCCGCCGGCCAAAACAAACAGAGCATCCAAGGGCACCCTCCCCAGGATGCCCAAGAAGCGCCAACGGACACGAAGAGCATTCAGGCACCCGCCCAGAACCGATCTTGATCTTCTACCTCAGTCCGAACGTACGGTAGGGGGAAACAATTAGTGAACACCCCCCCTGCCCCCCAAACTCAAGGTTGGCACGCGCGGGGGGAGACTGCGGCCGAGGTGCAACTCATCAGACCCACCACCAACTTTGAATATTGGGGGGAAGGGGAGGCGTTCACAGATGAATGTGGCATGAGTGTTCGCTATTTTTTTCCGAGGCCTGTAGCGCATATCCTGAGCCTCCCCCGACGCGCTCTCGCCCCGGGGCGCCTTGAGGGACAGGCCGTGCAGCCGCCCGCTCGACACGGCGTTCGCCTGCGCGGGGCGCAGAGGGCCCCACGCGAGCCGCAGGCCGTGAGGGCCGAGCTCTCGCCAGAACCCCTCCGCCTCACGAATGGGGCCCAGGGACACACACGCACACACACATATTCCTATCTTAATAATCTCACACCAGGAAACTGACACCGAAGGGTCCCACCCCCCCCCCAATAGGATTTGGCGGCCCACTGGAGCCTCCTGGACCGCCACGGGGGCCTCCCGGACCTCGACTTCGGCCCCCCAGATCCCCTTGATGGCTTCGAGCAATTGCCGAGACGGCCCAAAAACGCTCCAAGACGGCTCAAGATAACCTCAAGACGGCCCCATAGGCAGCCAACGAGCCCACAAGGGCTTCAAGCGCCCCCCGAACAGCCCCCCGAGAGGCTGAGATCGATCAAAAACCTATAGGAAATTGATAATTTCCGCCTTCTAACTTGATCGCCTCCTATCAGCCTCCGCGGCCTCAATACGGCATCCAAGCAGCCCCCAGAGAGGCCCAAAAGGTCCCCAACAGGCCCCAAGAGGCCCCCAAAGGCCCCCAAGAACACCTGCAAGGATTCCAGAAGGCTCTGAAAACACCCCCCAAAGCCCCCAAGAGGCCCCCAAAAGGCTCCCAAGAGGCCCCAAGAGGTCCCCTGGAACGCCCCGAAGCCCCGTAAAGGCCCCCAAAGCCCCCCTACATATTGCAAGAGGCCCCAGTGCCACTCCGAACCACCCCCGATCTCCCACAAAAGCCTACCAGCTCTCTTCCTGCTCTTCCTAACCGCCTCTCCCGAACGCTACCTCGCAACGCGAATCCCAGACGGACTTCCACCTCCAAAATACCACAAGCGCCCCAACATGTTCATCTAGCCTTCATACTCAAATGGTGGTCCGTATCCTTCCGAGACCGTCTTCAGAGCCTACTGGCTCTCCTCTTTCCCTTCTTACCACCCCTGCCCATTCCCTCCCACCTCCCCACGCCGCTCCCCCGCACTCTCCATGGTCCCTCCTGCCATGCCGGCCGCTGCTGCAGGCTCAAGCCTTATCGCGTGACGGCCGTCAAATGCCACCGACGCGCTCAACCTTGACTTGCACGCAATGCCATCGATGCTTGGACACGTCTGCCTTTTCCGCCACGCGGTTGCACTCTTCATCTCGGACAGCCCGATGCAAGGAGTGCTGCTCCACCGCTAATGCCCCTGTACTTCTACGACCCTGCGCCAGCTGCGGGACAGAGCTCGCGCAGGCTGAGTACGCGCCGGACCAGTGGCGACGAAGTACCCGCAAATGTTTGACCTGCACAAGAGCCGCGCTTCAGCGTAGCGGGGCACTTAGACAGCATACCGACATCGTCTGCTCCAGGTGCGGCGTCTGCTGGCCCACCGACATGTTTCCACAGCGGGCCCCGAAGCGGGCTGGCCCAGTTTGCTTCAACTGTGCCGCGCCCGCCCCCGACGGAGGCCGCCCACCGTCGACCCTCGCCTCCATTTCTTTGGGGGACATGTCCACCCAATGCGACCACTGCGGCGCACTTTTGTTCAACTCGGAGTCCAAAACGTTCTGTTGTAATGCCGGGAAGTACTTCGTCAATTTTGACACCTATTTCCAATGCCCCGACAAACCCCTCTGCGACATCTTCGCCTCCCATTGGCCGCTCACAGACGACCGCGGAGACAAGATGTACGACACCACCACCAACGAGCTTCGGCACGCTGGCTTCACGGCGCAGTCCAGGCGGTACAACAGCCTCTTCGCCCTCGCACAACACGAAATCCAGTGCAGCACTGGAGACAAAGAGCTTCGATTCGGAGACGCCCGCCGGCCAGCAAACATCCGTATCCATGGGGCGATTTACCGACGCGCATTCTCTATGGCAGACCAGGTCCCTCTGCGATACCTGGTGCACGATCCGCAAGACCGCTTCGTCACCGCCGCGGCGCACGGCCTCAACAAGCAGACCACCAAACAACTCGAATAGCTCATAGTGCCGAGAAATGCCCACATGCGTATGATTCAGCGTTTGGCCCGCCAGTCCAAACAAGCAGCATGCGCGAATATCATCTTGGAGTGGCACGAGGGAGTCAACGAAGTGGCTGGAATACTGGACGTCGACCCCACCCCTGACCGCAACAAAAGGTCCATCGTCTTCACATACAAGCGCCACGACACGCCGTCCTACTTGCACCCGCTGAGCCCGTTTTACGAGCCCTTGAGTTACCCCCTGTGGTACCCGTTCGGCGGCCGCGGCTGGAGTACAGACGTCATCAGCGCCACCGGCCACAAGGTAACACTGATGTGGTGGTATCGCCAACAATTGCTCCGACTCCCCCACATGCACCTTTGCGGACGGCTGCTCAACGAGTGGCTCATCAACATGTTCACGCGCATGGAAGATGAGAGGTTCTCCCACATCCGTCATCAACAACGACAGCGTAGCGCCAGTCGCCAGGAGCTCTGCGAGGTGCTCGCCAACGACCCCGCCAAGGCCGGAACGGTTGGCAAACAGTACGTTCTGCCATCGAGCGTCCCAGGATCACCTCGCCATCTTCGCCGACTGCGCGTCGACGCCCTGGAGCTGGCGCGACGCAAAGGCCCGCCGTCGTTCTTCATCACGTTGACTTGCAACCCCTACTGGCCAGAGATTGTGGGTCAACTGCACCGCGGACAAACCGCCGCCGACAGACCCGACATCGTCGTCCGCGTCTTTCACGACCGGCTGCAGAAGATCGTCGCTTTCTTGAAGGATTCTTTCTGCGGGGCTCGCCGTTACCTCATCAAAGTGATCGAGTACCAGCTCCGCGGCCTTCCACATGCGCACATCGCTCTGGCTGCCCTCAACCCGCCCGCCACTCCGGACGAGGTCGACCTTCTCATCTCCTGTGAGCTACCCCGCGAAGACGGACGACTCCGCGAACTCGTCCTTCGCCACGTGGTCCAAAGCTGCAACCATTCTTGCCACCCTCAAGACCCCGCTCAAGACTGCGTGGAAGGATGCCCCTGGCCGTTTTCGGACGACACGGTCTTCGACGCGCGCGGCTACCCCCACCACCGGCGGCGACCATGCGGCGGCCACTGCCCGAATTGCCGATCTGGCCGGGCCATGTACGGGAAACACGACGTCTGCCTCAATCGGCTCATCGTCGAATACAGCCCCGTGGCGCTTCAACTCTGGGAGGGGCACGCCGACGTCAAGTACGCAGCGATGGTGGAACTCTTCGAATACCTATACAAATATTTGTTCAAAGGCCCTTCCAAGACGAACTACGACGTCACGCTAGATGCGAAGGTTGCCGACGAGATTTCCGAGTGGCTCAAAGGCAGATATCTGTGCGCAACGGAGGCAGCATGGCGCATGTTCGGATACAACACCTACGACAGATGGCCGAACGTCGTCTGCTTGCCCGTGCACCTGCCCGGACAACAATGGATTGTTTTCGCGGAAGGAGAGGAGGCCAATGCGCTTGAAGCCCACGTGTCACCACTTCAACGGTACTTCTACCGACCCGCGGGTCCACCATTCGACGCATTGGCCTACCACGAGTATTTTGAAACCTACATGACGTCCCCATCGTGCCCATCGCAGGCCGCTGCCGTGTTGGACCGCGCCCCTCCGCCAAAACAGTTCTTCGCGTACCCGAGGATGCGTGGCGAGCCCCCGTTGCGCCGCCTCGACGGCGCCGACCGCGCAGTCAAGGAGTTGCACAACTTCTGCGTCGTCGTCGCCAAGAACATCCCCGAGAAGATCCTCGCGCCGCTGCGCAGCCTGCTGAAAAAGTACCCGCAGTTCATCACGTGGACCACGTGTGACCCGAACGCGGCCATGGTGGACACCGTCCTTTCTGCCCTGACCGCCAAGGCGCCGGCCGCCCCCACGTCCGTCAAGAAGCGCCCGGCGGCGGCCGCCGTCGGCGGTGCCGTCGCGAAGAAGCCCGCCAAGAAAGCGAAGAACTGACGTGCGGTCTGCAGCACGCCGCTTCCACGCGCATCCGCTGGCCCCTGCTAGCCTTCCTTTTTCTCGGCACTCGTGCCGGTGCGATACTTGCCCGGCAACCACTCCCTCTACTCCCCCCCCGCCAGTAGGATCGCCTGCTCAGCGAGCCCGCGCCGCGCTCGCTTGCCAGTACCGTCGTGGCCACTTTTTGTACGCCAGAGGACCGATAAATGACCCTCGCCGCAACCCTCACTCCTCATCTCTCGCACGCGCGTTCCCAGAGCATCACTCCGGACACCTTCAGAGGCAATCACGGCGCCCTGAAACGACAGAGACGAAAAAGTGTAACACACATTGAAGGAGAAACTTAGGACAGCTTCCGGGCTAATTCTTCCTGTCGTTAGTGATGGCGCCCGCCCTTCTGTACCCTCGCACGCGCGCGCCCACCCGCGCGCGCGCGTGCGCGCGCGCCCCCGTCGTCCTCGTGCCGGCGTGTCTTGCGATGTTCGTCCAGTTCTCGGCCCTGCGCAACGGCCGCCTTCGGCCCACGCCTCACTCCCACCATGCACTATACCAAGACTTTCAAGCGAAGCGCAGCGAGCTTCAAGTCTTGTATATATATATATACATACATACATACATGCATACATACAGACAGACATACAGACAGACAGACAGACAGACAGACAGACAGACATATATATATGTCTTAATGTGTACATGTGTGTAGGCATATACACTAAACATAGACCTGAATCATGAATATAACACTATAAACGATAAAGTCAATCTGACGTGGTACACAACAGAAGAATCGAAAATACGATCGTACATTGTAACATATGGTCGAAAATACATAGTATGATGTGGAAATGGGTATGGTATGAAGCAACGTGGTATGATACAATATCATATAACGGATTAAAACATGATATCATATGATGCCTTGCCATGGTATCGTGGCGTATGCTTTACTACAGTGTACTAGCACGTAACATCACATAATACACAACATAATAAAATATTACATGACATTACGTAAGACGACCCGCTATGATTGAGCACGACGGAATAGGATGTGGTA